CTCAGCCTCCCAAAGGCGCGGGATTACAGGCTGAGCCACCGAGCCCGGCTGGGAGTTATTGCTTAAATGGGGACAGAGCTTCAGTTTGGGAAGATGAAACAGTTCTGGAGATGATGGTGGTGATGGCTGCACAGCATTGTGAAAGTGCTTATCCTACAGAACTGTATGCTAAAAAGTGGTTAAAACAGTACACTTTATGTTGTGTTTATATTACCACAGTACTTTTTAAAAATGAGCTCATAAAAAGGTCAAATGAATGAATAAAAATTAACCAAAAAGAGGCTGAGGTGAGTGGATTGCTTGAGCCCGCGGGTTCGAGGCCTGCCTGGGCAACTTCGCGAGACCTCATCTCTACAATAAAAATAAAAAAAAAAATTAGCCAGGCATGGTAGCACGCACCTGTAGTTCCAGCTACTGGAAGGCTGAGGCGGAAGGATTGCCGGAGCCCAGCAGGTGGAGGCTGCGGTGGCTGGGAGCGGCCACTGCACTCCAGTCTGGGGACAGAGTGAGACTCCAACTTAAAAAAAACAAAAACAAAAACAAAAAACCCAAAAAGAACAATGCACAAGCAAGGAAAATGTAATTGCTTGTCAAATATAAAATTAGCTGGGCATATGTCTGTAGTCCTAGCTACCTGGGAGGTTAAGGCAGGAGCCCAAGAGTTCGAGGCTACAGAGAACTATGATAGTGCCACTGCACTCCAGCCTGGGTGACAGAGTGAGGCCCTGCATCTTAAAAAAAAAAAAAAAGTATAGCCAGGCTCGGTGGCTCAGCCTGTAATCCCATGTCTTTGGGGGGCTGAGGTGAGTGGATTGCCTGAGCCTTGCGGGTTCGAGACACACCTGGGCAGGCAAGACCTCATCTCTACAATAAAATTTAAAAATTAGCCGGGTGTGGTAGTGTGTGCCTCTAATTCCGGCTACTCGGAAGGCTGAGGTGGAAGGATCACCGGAGGCCAGCAGGTCGAGGCTGCGGTGGCCAGGAGCGGCCACTGCACTCCAGTCTGGGCGACGGAGTGAGACTCCAACTCAAAAAAAAAAAAAAAAAAAAAGTATAAACTCAAAATAGGCATTACCAGGTAATTCTTCTCTGGGGAAGGAAATGGTGTTGGAGAGGAGTGACTTTTCCCCATCTACCTTTGGGACATCTTAGAGTTTTTAACCTGTACCTGATGTGTTATTTATTCAAAAAATTAATTAAGTTTTTGAAAAGAAGAAAGAGAACAAGAATCTCTAACGTTACCAACATTGCAATGAGAAAGGCAGGTGGGGAGGGAGGCTGTGGAGTCTTTCCCAGAAGAAATCTGGAAATATGTTTCAAGAATCCTGTTTTCCATCACTACTTCAATTTATTAATTACACTTCTGGAAATCTAAGGACACCATCCAGGATGCAGAATACTTCCTTAGAAGTGGAGGGTGAGCGTGAAAGTGGGAAATACCGAAGTGTCCAAAAACAGGGTATTATCAGGTCAAACGTAATCTCTCCAGGCTGTGGACAAGCATAATGTGTTAAAATGACTCTCCTGGAAAATTTACGACAAAATAGTTTCTTCAACACAGATGAAAATGTAGACTGTGATCCCAGTGGATATAAAACTCATATGCAGAGATGGAAACATGGACACTTTTGGCAGTGCAGAATGCTGGGTGACTGTGCCTCCGTGTTTTGCTTATTTCTCTACATACAAATTTTCCTGCAATTGGCATGTGCTACTTCTAAAGCGATTTAAAAATTATTGGCCTGGCATGGTGGCTCAGCCTATAATCCCAGCAATTTGGGAGGCCGAGGCAAGAGGACTGCCTGAGCCCAGGGGTTGGAGACCAGCCTGGTGAACTTGGTGAGACCTCGTCTCTACCATAAATCACAAAAACTAGCTGGACATGGTGGCATGTGCCTGTAGTTCCAGCCACTTGGAAGGATGAGGTGGAAGGATCGCCTGAGCCCAGTAGGTTGAGGCTACGGTTGTCATGAGCATTCCACTGCACCCTAGTCTGGGTGACAAGAGTGAGACTCCAACTCAAAAAAAAAAAATTATTAACAGGTTTTTCCTTCAGTCAGTCACTTCCTTCTAAAAGATTCTGGCTGTGAGCGTGCCACTGCACTCTAGCCTGGGTGACAGAGTGAGACTCTGACTCAAAATAAATAAATAAATAAATAAATAAATAAACTAACTAAATAGATGATTCTGAATGTGTTAAACTACCTTTCTAAAAGCCTGCAACAGGCTGGGCGTGGTGGCTCACTCCTATAATACCAGCACTTTGGGAGGCCGAGGTGAGAGGATTCCCTGAGTCCATGGGTTCAAGACCAGCCTGGGCAACTTGGCAAGA